TTCCCTGGTGGCACTTTCCTCTCCACTCCTTTTGTACCCTTAGAAGCACATTGATTCACAAATCTTGAGCAGCAGAAAACACATTTCTTATTTTTTTGGATGCAAGGGCTAAAAGGACTGAGACAAATTTTGCAATTGCCAGAGTAATTTTAGGATCCTCATCACTGAGCAAAAGAGCCACGGTTTCTGGAGTCTAGGGGGATGACTGGTTGAATAAAGGCTTAATATAGGAATCCTGCATAATCTCAAAAGAGCTGTATTCCAGCAAGGGCATGAAAGGATGTATCAATCCTAGGGCTGCCAGCCCCCAGGTCTGAGTGGGGGTTCCTCTGCTTCTGGGGGCTCCAATCGGCCACTGCCCAGCTGGCCAGTGGGGGAAGCCCTGCCCCCAAGGTGCACACCCCAAGGTGCACCCCCCAAGACCCAGCCACAAGCCATGGCCACCCCTCTCCTTCCCCTCCTGCAGAGATTTAAAGGGCTTCGGCTGATCGGCGGTGAGCACGTGGCCCACTGATTAAATCTTTCAGCAGGGAGGGAGAGGGGCTCCATTCACAAAAAGACCCTTTAAAGGGTTTTTTTGAGAGCAGGGTGGGGACTGCAGTGTGTGAGGCTGACTTCCCAGGGGCGATTCGCCCACCTCAAAAATATCATCAATCGGCACTCCAACTTTCATCAGTTTCTCCTCCAAGGCTTTCATCCAAGTTGATTTGTGGGTATCCCGATTTAAAGCCACTAACAAACCATCTCCAGCACAGAGCTGTTTTAATCTCAGTTTGAAGGCAAATAGCCATGCTCTTGCTTCCAAGGATATCTGTCCAAATTCTGCCGGTAATACGACATTTGACACACAGCAGAAAATGTTCACCTTGGCAGCACTGGGCAGTGCATACATCTGGGAACACGGGTGGTGGACGGTCCAGGGCTCTTTTTGTAGAAAAAGCCCAGCAGGAACTCATTAGCATAATAGACCACACCCAACAGCAGGAACTCATTAGCATATTGGGCCACACCCCTGACAGCACAGCTCATTAGCACATTAGGCCGCACCCCCATGTTACCAGAAGCGTGGTTATCCAGCCACACCCACCTTTTGCTTGTTATTCTGTTTACCTTGCTTGTTGTCAAAACCCAGGGCCTTTTTTTGTAGCAGGGACTCCTTTTCATGTTAGGCCACATACCCCTAATGTAGCCAATCCTAATGAGTTTCTGCTGTTGGGTGTGGCCTATTATGCTAATGAGTTCCTGCTGGGTGTGGCCAACTTGGGAGCCAGCTCCATTCCTGTGCGTTCCTGCCCAAAAATAGCCCTGGGTGGACCACTAGCAAGTGAGTGGGTGGAGGGTATCAGCATCTGTACATCCTGCCAGAAGCCCTGGGAGCTGCCCCCTCTTCAGGTGATCCTGATGACTGCAGTTGCTGCTAAACCATGGTGTGTCAATCAGTTATTCCAAAATACACTGACTTAATTCTAACGTTTCCTGCTGTACTGCTGCCACATTCACCCACATAATTGAATAGGGATAGTTTCAATCACATATGCAACGTTTTGGAGTAGGGCTGCCAGGTTCCCCTCGGCCACCAGCAGGGGATGGGGGGGTAGGGTTGTAAGATTCAGGTTGGCAAACTCTTGGAGATTTGGGGATGGAGCTGGGGGAAGACAGAGACCTCAGTGGGATAGTGCCATAGACTCCATCCTCCAAGCCATAGATTTTGCCTTCCAAACCAACCCTTTTCTCCAGGGGAACTGATCTCTTTAGTCTGGAGATGAGCTGTATTTCTGGGGGATCCCCAGTTCCCACCTGGACGCTGGCATTCCTAACTTGAGGGGTCTGCCACCCTACGTTGTGTCTGAATTTCTCCCACAGCAAACTTCAAAGTGAAGTTGGGGGTCCTGATCAGGTGAAAGGTTGGAGAGATTTCCAAGAAAACTAAAAAAAAAAAAAAGTGTTGGTAATGAGACAAGCCCAGTTTCTCAAGGTTGTTTGCACATGCCTAATTCAAATCCCAGGAAGCAAGCCTTAACTGGTTTCAATTGGGTTTCTGACACAGTAGTTTGCATTACATCTCAGGTTTCTCATTAGTCAGGGAAGGAATCAAAATTGCTCATTCTAATGACATCTCTTTCTGACTTTTAGTAATGATCTGGAAACCAGCAAAGCATGGATAACCTCTTGCTCCTGCACACATCTACAGACGGCCTAATTATGCATGCTTCTTGGTAATTTCACTTGTTTCAGAAATGGGTAAGAGGTGAAATTATCAGTTTCAGGACTACTTATCGCTGAAACCAATCAGACAAAAACCATGCATACCTGATGAGTCAAATACTCTTAAATACCGGCACGGTATTCATTCCATTTCCCCCCTCCCTCTTTTGGGGGCAAACATTTGTTGGTATCCTGATGTACTGTAATTGTGGGGACTATTTGCATAGATTACAGCTGGTTTTGAACTTGTGAATGCTTAGAAAGTGCTAAAGGCGATCCATTTCAGCAGAGTGTGTTTAGCCTGAGTACCTTACACATATTAAAAAGAGAGAGAGAGAGAGATTCCATTATCTGGGAGCTGAGAGATGACTTACTAATCAATTATGTTTCGTTCGTGCCCAGCTCAGAGCCTGCCCCAAGAAACTGAGTTTGCTGGAAGAAATTAGAGTGTTCTCAACGTCTGGTTCTCTCTAATGGGTTGGGAGCGAAAAAAATGGGATAGAGAGTTTCCATTTCTGACTGAGATATGTAGGAACATACAAGTGAGCTAATTCTGTGGACTAAAAGACAGGACCAATTAGTGGTGAGGAAGAGATCAGTCTGCATCTGAAATCTGTAGGAAACCATTGTGTACCCAAGATGGAATCAATGAACACAATGTTTTGGTCTTTCTGCATTTTAGAAGATGGGGGAGTATTGATTCCATTCAGGGGGGAAAAAAACTGTGAGGGATGAAGTCAAGAACTTGACCTTTAGGGCCAACCTGGTAGAACTTTAAGAAAAGCTCAAGGTGGTATACTGAAGTATGAATCAGGAAGTCCCACCAGGTCCTAACTCCACCCACTTCTTGCCAATAGGGTTGACTACCAGGTGTGTAGCTGATTAATCCAGCCTGCTTAATACCTGGGTAAAGAAGGATGGAGACTGTAGTTGGAGACAACTTTTTGGAAAGTCAGACATAGCTTACTTGCAGATGCGATCAAGACAGTCTGACTAACAGAAGAAGAAGAAGAAGAAGAAGAAGAAGAAGAAGAAGAAGAAGAAGAAGAAGAAGAAGAAGAAGAAGAAGAAGAAGAAGAAGAAGAAGAAGA